TTAGGGGTCCAAGAAAATATATTACATCTGCAGGATAATGTATTCACAGGGAGCTTTTAATGGATCTGTGCCTAACACTTATTGTTACTTTTTTACATGTACATAATAAGAAAGGTTCTCTCCTCCAATTCTTCACAGATAGCCCACTATTAACACTTCCCTTTAATGTTATGCCAAAAAGATTTGTGTTTCAGAGCTTAGATATTTGCTGATGTAGAATGTGTTATAATTAAAGAATATAATCATTTCACTCTTATAACTAAAAAGCCAATTAGGCTCAAGTTGGTGATTTAAGGGAGCATTTAAGCATTTCTTACCTTAATTTCCAGTACATTTTCGTTGCCCATTGAGATCATCACTGGCTTTTCAAAAGGCTTAAATACAGGATTATGGACATAAATGAGATCAAAGTAAGTGGAATGGATACCATCAAATATGAAAAGAGCTTTTGTTTCCAGGGGAGGTTGCAGATTTAGCTGTTGTAAGGAAGGAGTCGAACAACAGATTATCTCTGAATTAGAGCGGTGCTTGCATGCCTGTAGCGGGAAACAATTAGCCACTGTAAATAAGCAGATCAAAAAATTAGGTAATAGCAATAATAACTTTCACATTTTACTACCATATAAAACTTAACTTTTTTTTTAAAGCTTCCAATTTACTGCTTAATGTTAAGTCCTATCTAGATAGAGTGGCGTATTTCTTCTACACAAGATGGAGATAAATTTTACCTGCCTTTAATGATCCATGCTTTTGTTTTTGAAGTTGGATCTCCTGTTTAGGTTTACCCAATTATTTTCTATTCCTCTGAAAATAGGACAGAGACACATGGGAGGGATATTACCTCATCTTCCATTACTTAAATAAAAGCTACTGGAGAATTCTGTATGTTGGCAAATGTTCCCTGCCCAAAATCTGTGCCATTTTCACTGCTTGTCCCCCATACCTAGAATGCTGTACCTTCTCATCTCTGCCTCTTGGCTTCTCTGGCTTCCTTCAAGTGCCAGCTAAAATCTGATCTTTTACAAGAAATCTTTTCTGATCCCTCTTAATTCTAGTGCCTTCCTTCTATTGATTACTTCCAATTTATACTCTCCATCGTTCATTGTACACAGTGTTTGCATGTTGTCTCGCCCGTTAGATCGAAAGCGGGGACTCTTTTACATTTCTTTGTATCTCAAGCACTTAGCACAGTGTCTGTTACATAGTAGTCACTTAATAAATATTTGTTGCCTGATTGCCACTGTTGAAGAAGTATCCCCCTCAGATTAAATTCCAAATCTTGTCCTGATTTTTTAGGAAGATTTTTAGTGCTGTATAGCTAAACATGGGACTTTTGAATCCTGATTTCTGACATTTTAGGAAATGTAATTTCCTATTGTTGCTAGTAGTTATGCGAAGTGGCATATTTATGGGTAAAGTGGCTGATTTTTCCCCAAGGACAATGAAAACAAGTGACAAGCCCTTTTAATTTCTTTCTTTTAGAAAAGTATAACGAGCAAAACAATAATTTAATCCCCATGTAGAAAGACTTAGGAAATACATAAAAATCATGAACAAGAAACTGTGAATTGAACTCAGATAATTTATTAAAAATTATATTTGGCAAAATTTTTAAAAAGGTATATTTAAGATGGACCCAAGTACTACTTTCCATTGCCATTAGCATCAGTCTTTACCAGACCTTTATAAATGTAAGCATCTTTTGAACAGGGATCATTTCACTCCTGATACTTACATCTTAGTGCCTAGCACATGACTCAGTTAGCAATTCATAAATACTTGGTGACTGAGAGATCCTTGAAGAATTGATATGTACATGAGGTCGGTCTGCGAGAACATTGGCTCTGTAGTTAGAGGACCTGGGTCCTAGTGCTGTCTCTTTGGTTCACAACTTGTGTGACCCTCAGCAAATTACTGAACCTTCCTGAGCCTCAGTGTCCTCATTTATAAAAAGAGAGGGGTTGGGCTATATGCCCTCTGAGTACACTGCAGACAAAGGTTCTTAACCTTTTCTTATGTGCCATGGAACACTTAGGCAATCTAGTGAATCCTATGGACCCCTTCTTTTTAATGCAAAAAATACATAGGATGAAGAAAGGATACCAACTATATTGAAATCCAGTTGTCAAATTAAAAAAAAAAGTTCATGGATTCCAGATCAAAAACCCTGATTCCAGCTCTACATCTATGGTTTCTTAGCTCAGAGAACTCCATATATCAACCCAGATAGCAGACCATCTATAATTAAGAGAATTAAGTCCTAAGGAGGTGCCTGAGACACATTAATATAAAGAAACTTGCCCAGGGTCACACAGCTAAATATCAGAGGTAGAAAGTAAAGCTAGGACTTTCTGAATCCATGTTCAACACTCTGTCTAGCACTATGCTTCCTCTACTGTAAGAATACTGGGATACGAATTTGCCTTTTCTTCTAGATATATACACAATACAATTTTGCCCTCTGCCAAATTAGTATCATGATGTTTAAATCTTTTTACTCACATTGGCTTGAGAAGTGAAATTGAATTAACTACAAATGAGCAATTTTACTGTCATCATAATAATTCCGTATATAAAACTGGGGAATTTGAAAACTACATTTTGAAATGCTGACTGCTAAAGGAGAATATGCATTTATAAATCAATGCACAGTCTGGTTAGAAAGTGCTTGCCTTTTTTTTTCTTTTTTAAACAATGCTTGCCAATATAGATGCATAGTAAGGTTAATGTGCATGGACATTGACATGACTCATGACGTGAGTCATAGCATCAGAGGCCAAAAGCTCCCATAGATCCAATTCATCATCACTGGCCTCAGTTTCCACAGTCAACAAACAATACAGAAGTAAAATATCTGCTGTTTGTAAGGCAGTTTAACAAACAGCCATAAAATGAAATCTTTTAATAACTAATTCTGATGACTATATAGAAAGATCTAGCCCTCACTATGCTACCATTTTTGTCATTGAAGCAGTAGAAATTTAATTGACTTTTTTCCCTCAAAACAAAACAGCCCAGAATCTCATCTCTCAATGATACTCTATCTTTCTTCTTGATGGGCAGAAACCAATGAATACTCTCTGTTCAGGTATAATGTTGGGTTATGAAAAAAGATGGAAAATTTGTCACTAGTTAACAAACTAGATTATAGTTTCATCTGATTATAATTTCTACATATAAATCACATGTATTCTACACATACATACATGAGTGCATAAAGATATATTTATTTTTGTTTGCTAATGGAAATTCATTAATCTCCTGATATGAAATACAAATATTCTTTAAATTAGTAGTAGTGGTAGTCAGAACTCTCTTTGTGTCTGTATGTTGGAATTGGTTTCAGAGTATTTTACTTCAATTGTTTGTTCATTTGGCATAGTACGACCTCATCCAAGAGTATGATAAAAATCTAATAATACTTCAGAGGTGATGCAATGTGACTGATTGAGAGGGTCAAGAGAAATCTTATTTGAGATGACCTTATTGTGTTGTAATTCAACTTGACATATTTAGCACAAAATTGGTCTCAGTAATTGAAGAATATGATGGTTTTAGTCCTCAAAAAATGTTGGGATGGAGAATCTAAGAAAAAGTGCTGTAATTCAATCTATGATCTGCTCAATTAAGATACAGCTAAAAGGCAACACCTTCAACTTTCATTTCATGTTTATTGTGAAAGTTGTGGTAGAAATTAAAACATGAAAATCCTTAAAATCAGCACTAACAGTGCTGAAGTCCTAGCAGGAATTTAATTGATTTAGTGTTCCATATAGGATGAAACAGACAGAAGAACTGACATATAAAAATACAACTGGCTACAATACAAATAATGGTCAATAACTTTTAAGAGGGCACCTCATGTGGTCATTTCACTTTTGCATACTCCTGTAAATAAAATAAGATAAGATGGATGTTCTTTGGGATTAGGCTATCATGAGATATTAAGAAGACTGGGGTTTAGGGCAGGCAGAGAGGTCAAGAAACAGTGTGCCTGCTCCACAGCCAGAATTAATGAAATAGTGATGAGATCAGGGTTAACTTCACACCAAGACCTTCGTTGGAGCAAAAGGGACACTTTTTTTCTAACACTTTGAGAGAGAAAGACACACACACACACACACACACACACACACACACACACACAGAATAAGAGAAAAAATAAGGAGGAGGAGGGGAAGAGAAAGAAAAAAACATATTGTAATCTTCAACTTTTACACTTTCTTTTGTTAACTGGCCTTCAAAAATATCACCTTAGGGTTGTAATCATCATTTGTGTCCAAATATTGTAGATTTAAAAAGCCAAAACCCGAGTTACTCAACAATTTCAATAATTTGCATTATAAATTTATATTTCTGCTTAAGTTGTGCAAAGATAATTGGTGACAAAGTATTTTAAAGGCAAAATCCTGAGTCCTTATGTTAACTGAAAACCAGCCAGATTGGTTTAAAAAAAAAAGCAGAGAAAGATTCAGTACAGTGTACAAGTGCACTAAAGGTACTCACCACTGTGAAGTTCCTTCCTACTTCAGGGACATTTATTACCATCTTGGGAACACTAGCAGAATTTAGATTTTTCCCAAGACCTGTTATTGTGCTTCCTCCACTGGTAAAAATAAAATAGAAAAGTGATAATATTGAGAAAAACTACAGCATCTTATTATACTTTTCAGAGAGCTTAGAGGCAAATTCATGCAGATAATATTTTAGAGTCAGAATAATTATAAAGTCAGAGTCTAATTAAAAGATTAAAGATGTTCAATAGAAACAGTTTTCTTAGCTTCTTCAAAATGTATGTGTAGATGTGTGTATATTTAAAATTATTACTCACAAATTTGAGAATTATACATTCTTTTTGATTTGCTAGACCACATGAAAGAATCATCTCTGAAAATAAGTTGGATTTCAGCTTCTTAAAGAAACTTTTAAAAATAGCTTTCAGGCATTTGCATGATAGGGAACTAAAATAAATCCACTTTTTATTGTTATTTGACTTACAGAGCTGGAGAGTTGCAGAAGAAATGAGCTAGGTTGATTTGGTTCAATGAGCTACTGATTTAAAGGGAAGCTGGTCTGCATAAAAGATAGGTTGAGGACAGGCAGGGTAAGTATATATTGAAAGGTGGACAAATGAATGTGGTTGCATATTAGTGTGTAAGTAAAATTATCATGAGAAAATGTATGCAATACATGTGTATCAGTATATATACAATATGTGTCTATAAATATTACATTCCTCTGTTAAACTGTTTTGCTGAAATCAATGGAAATATTTGATAGAATAGGTGGGAAGTGTTTCCTAGGTACAAAGTCACATTAACAAAATTAAATGGTGCTCAGAAACTGAAGAAAATCCTTTCAAAAATTGAAGACCATCTGCAAAATAAATGTAATAGCAACAAAGCCAGAGATAAAATTGAAGTTTCTCTTGATTATTCTACAGCAGTCTTATGTCTTTCTTTTTTTCACATCTACTTTACTTACCTAAGAAAGGATTTGGTTGGATGAATTTCATGGACAATGGGGTCCTCTTTGTATGTAAAACTGTAGGCTTCTCGATTGGCTAAGTCAATTTTCATTTTAATGGGGTATGCAGTTGGCATGGTTTGTGCAGGAGTATAACATTCTAGAACACTATGAGACACACTGAACAAAAAAAATGAAGGGAATGGATATTTAGCATTAAAGGGAATAAATGCTTTTAAATACTATATTTTCAAATTATATGAATAAATGTGAATATTGGCCATATTCAATGGTTTCTCAAAGGTAATTTTTCATCTGGTTAATAATAGTGAACATCTATATAGCACCTTAAGTTTTATAAAGTACTTTACATATATTGTATTATTTGATGCTCATAAAAAGCAAGAAACTATCTTCTCCATTTAACAGATGAAGAAACAGAGGCTTAAAGAAGAACCTTTATAGTGTTGGACCTGGTCACAGTGCTATTAAGTATCAGAAGCAGGATGTGAACCCAGGGCTTTCATGATTCCAAGTCTATTACTTTTCCCAGTGTGCTTTGCTGCCTCTCACAAGTGCTTAGGAAGGACCTCCTCACTCTAGGCTTATCATGGTTCAGTGCAATTAAAATTTGAAAATGTGGTATATATAACAGCCTACTTTTTTGCATTGTTGGTGTCCTAAGCCCCTTATTTAGTCATTCATATCTTTTCTGTATTTTGATTATAATTTTGCTGAGCAGAAGTATCTTCTTGTACTCTACCCCGCCTCTTTTTTCTTGCAATGATCTAGGATAATTAGTTATAAATCTGAAGGAACTGGCTTTTCCTATTTACATAGTTGTTGGTCTCCACAATCTTAAAGGTGATTATGCAACTGTCATGTTAATTTAAAAAAATTGAAAGTGAAAAATAAGGGGAAATCAATAAAATAGTAGTAAAGGGAGAAAGATGAGTAGAGGGGAGTGTATAGAGAAAATAATTTGCTTAATATAAAAGCAAATAGAACTTTTAAAACCACAAAAATTGCCTTTTGACAATTGATCAACTTATTATAATTCAGAGACAAATTCATTTGACTAAATAAATAAAATAATTAAAATATATTTACAGCACCTTTTTAAAATACATGGTTTCCCACCAATTGAAATACGTCTAGAATTTCCACTGTTTAGATATTTCCCAGTTAAGGTAAGTAATGTACCACCAGCCTTGGGACCATAGCTTGGAGAAATATTTGTTATTACAGGATCCTGAATGCAAAATATAAAAAATTAAAACAATATACTTATTAATTTTTGACCACTGATGGGTAACAGAAGCAAAACAGTTTGAATAGCAATCAATTTGATTACTCATTTTCTGAGAAGAGTAATATTTGGCCTTACCACATAAGAGAATGAATTAAATTGTGTTGTTTCTCGACCATTTGAAATAATGATGGATACATTGAAATGCAGATTCATAGCAGGACCAACAGTACATTTCAACCTTTGAAAAAGAAAATTAAAGATATTACATAGGGCAGGTATTTTCTAGCTTTGGTTTTTAAAATATTAACCCCATATCATGAATATGAGCACATTTAATTCTATCTTGACATGATATCATAAAAGCAGAAGTCATGGAATTCTACTTTTTTATGATTATTGCAATATAAAAATAGCAAGATCTTAAATATTGGACAAATGAAAATAATGCACATATAGCTTAATTTATGTTAAAACAACAAAAGCTTACTTCTTCATTCCAAATTATTCAAAATTCATACTTCAGATACAGATTGAGATATTTACCTCTGTACTGTCTAGAATGAAGTTTTTTTTTGTCACAAAAATGCAAGGGGATTTTATCTAAGTAGAAATTTTGCAAAAAAAGAACTTTGACATGATCTATTTTCAGATAAGTAATATGTTAATTATGAATGAATCTGTGTATTTATTCAATCAGGTTAGGCATAGCTTTTTCTTGACAGCACAGCTAACAGTTTATATTACTGTACATAATAAAAGTTAAATCATAATGCACTTAATACACAATTAGTCTGAAAGTAGGCATGTGAATTAGGTTTCAAAGTTTTATAACAACAACAGTATAGGGATAATAATAGCACCTGCCACACAAGTTGTGAGCATCAGATGAGGTAATGTATGTGAAATGCTTTGCTTAAAGCACTATATATGTATGAGCTATTATTATTATTATATCTGGCACTTACATTGTACTTCAAGGTTTGCAAAGAGCTTTACATATTATCTCATTTGACTCTCACAACAGCTGTACAAACATTATAAGAAAACTGATTTCCCTGTTATAATGTCATAGAAAATTATAATGTAATGATAAATATAATCATAGTTCCAAAGTAGCATAAGTAGTGTTTAGTAAGGGTTTCATAGAGACTGTTTTTCCTGGGACAAGAAATTTAAATACACAAAATGTCATACTTGATGTCTTAATCTTAGTAATATGGATAACTTAGTCTTTTACTTTTCCTTAGAACCAATTAGGTTAGGTTTTCAATTTATAGGACTTAATTGGCAATCTGCCAGATTGGAGTTTTAGCCAGATGTCCCCACCTTTTCGGAGGTTTCATTGTATTACTCAGTTTACAAGTTCTGGGGTACTTGATGCATTATGGGATGTGTAGCTTACAGAAAGTTCTGGATTTAAACTGAGTTGACTATATAATCCACCTGTGGAACTACATTTTTATAGCTTTAAAGTGGGAAACTTAGAAAAGGACAGTTTTCATCTTAAAAAAAAAAGAGTGCAGCTTCACAGATATGAGAGATGATTATTAATATTGTGTAATTTTTTTATTCCCCTTAGGAAAATTCCTTTGAAATCCTTAATAAATTCTTCCAAAGGTCAACTCCCACTACATGAACATTACTCTTTCAAATCAACCTGAAATATCAATGGAGAACAGTCATGCTAATACTTAAGACCATACCAAGTATTAGATTCTTTTTTTTCCCATCATTCTAACTAGACAATATTTTTAAGCCTTCATCTGAAAACAAAGACTCTCTTTATAAAAACATATACACAGGAAATCATCTTCATGATCTTACTTATTTGTGGTGCTCTCACTTGTATTCAGTATGCAGCTCTCATTTCCAATGAGAATTTTGGTTTTTCTAAAATCAAATTTATTATTTTTTCTTAATCCAAAATCCCAGCCACACACTGTCAACGTTGTGCCTCCCTCCAGGGGTGCGCTGGTCGGGAGAATCTGCAAAGTAGAAAGAAAATGTTTCATTCAAAACTAAACATATGGCTTTCAAATATGTGAGGAACATTTAACATTCCACACTTATGACTAACATTTTTAGGCTGATGTGTACATATCTTTTCAACAGTGAAATAACTGAACAGGTGAAGGGGCAGAGAATGACAATAGTTGGACATACATATTAAACCTTTTCCTTATTCTAAGGTAAGTAATAAAAATATTACTAGTTCTATTTTAAGGATGAGAAGACTGACGTTCAGAGAGTCTAGGCGATATGTGTGATGTCTCACAGCAAGTCTGTAGGGAGGCCCGCACTTGACCCCAAATCTTCTTAGGCCAAGTGCAGTGCTTTCCCCACTACCCCATTCTCTAGATCAGAGGTTTCAGACAGTTGGTAGACCTGCCAAATCAGATTAAATGTAACTGGGAAATATTTAACAAAATAAATAAAAATATAATAGAACACAGATAATATTAATATGTGGCCCTTAGCAGCCCTCTTTCTACTTAAGTTTGACAGTGACTTCTCTAGATTCCTTCCACTAACCCACTATAGTTGAAATACAATTTCTATTAAAGGCAAAGTGATTCTAAATTCCAAAGCACTTGGAAGAAATGACACAATATGATAATACACTTATGGATGGACCTAGGACCCCACTTCTAGTAAGAGGAGGGAGGAAGCAGATTAACTTTGGTCTGGGACCTTTATGGGGATAAACTTACTGATGTTGTTATTTGTCCTTTGTTTTGAAGGGGACCAATGACATCATGGGATTTAAGTGAGGCCTCACTCTTCCTGAGTCATCAAAGTCAAGTGGCAAGATAAAAGTCAAGACCACTGGCAATGGCCTAAGATCCAGTAGATGACCTTGGCCTCTTCGATGTCTGACCAAGCTCTAAGTACGCTCTGCAATGACTCCTTCAGCCACTTTCATGGCCATTGGGACAAGTTATTCCTATCTGCCCATTCTGTTGGGGGATGTCTTCACATCCTTGGGGCAGATATCCCCCTAACTCACCTACGGGGTTAGTTACCCTCAACTTGCTTTCCAGGGGTGGGGAACCTGTGACCATAAGGCCATACATATATGGCCCTCTAGGTCCCCAAGTGTGGCCCTTTGACAGAATCCAAACTTTAGAAGTTTCAGAAGGCCACACTTGAGGACCCAGAGGGCCACATGTGGTCTCAAGGCTGCAGGTTCCCCACGCCTGGTTTAGCCCATCTGCCAAGACTCACCTGTGGCTCCAAGAAGCCATAGTATGCTCAGGGGCCACACCTTGGAGATAAACTGTACGGCATGGTAACACTAAAATGAAATAACTCTCCTGAGACACCTTTTGAAGAAGACTAGGGTACAGAATATCAGACTCTTCTGATCCCAGCTGGACCAGCCAGCAAGTCTGCGAAGTGTCTTCCAAATGGTTATGGTGAGAGCTAGACTCAGGTCAATGTGTGCTAATTCATTCCTACAGCATTATCTCAACCACAGCCCTATAATTCACACAAGTATTTGTAAAGGTTAAAATATCTCCTTTTGTATTTATTATTTGTAACGTTCAATTCAGGCAACAAACGTTTATGAAGAGCTTACTGTGTGCAAGTCTTGTATTAGGCACTAGGCATGTAAAGCTGAAAAATGACAACTTCTTGCCCCAAGGACCTTACAGTTCAATAAGGGAAAAACACAGTATGCAAGGAGATGTGTTTGGGCATGGATTATGTGTTCAATTAACTAATCAATCATGAAGCATTTATTAAATAGCTGCTAAGTGCCAGGCACTGGTAACTCAAAGACAAAAATGAAATTATTTTTGCCCTCAAGGCTCTGATATTTTAATGAAAAAGATAACATGTACATCTATAAAGGAAGTAGTATGGAGCTGTGTAAAGAGACATCAACTTGAGTTAGAATTTCCCGAAGCTAGGTAGGACAGTGGATAGAGTGCTATGCCAGGAGATAGGAAGACTCATCTTTCTGAGTTCAAATCCAGCCTCAGACTAGCTGTGAGGCCCTCAACAAATCACTTAAACCAGTTTGCCTCAGTTTCCTCATCTGTAAAATGAACAAGAGAAGGCAATGGCAAACCACTCCAGCATCGTTGACAAGAAAACCCCAAATGGGTCATGAAGAATTGGACATGACTGCTCTGCTAATTAGAAGTCTCTTAATCTCTCTAGGCTTGTTTCTTCATCTGTAAAATGGGAAGGGAGGGTGAACTAGATAAATGATTTCAAAGGCCCCTTCCATAGTTCTCCATCTATGATCCTATAAAATAAAATGTAACATTTATATAGCACTTACCATGTGCCAAGCACCATGCTAAGCTCTTTAAAATTATTATCTCATGTGATCCTTACGACCACCCTGGAGGTAGTTGCTATTATTTCCCCCATTTTACAGATAAGGAAACCAATGCAGACACAGGTTAGTTATCTGAAGCAGTATTTGAATTCAGTAGTTTCTGACTCCAGGCCCAGAGCTCTATTTGCTGTACCACTTAGCTGCCCCAACAAAAAAAGGTAATGAATGGGAGGTGAGAGGGGCAGCAAAATATCATTTGGGTTTCAAGTAGAAATGCAATGCGTTTTGGACTAAACTCGAGATTCTAAGAGGCAGCAGTGGCTTGGGTGGGAGGAGTCACTGCAAAGGTACAGAGATAGGAAATAAAGTTTTGTGTGTTGCTGCCCACACTGGCTTTCAGTGCAATGCCAAGAAGCCAAGTGCTCTCTAGTATTTTGGTGAGCTTCCTGAATACCCTTCATTGAGCTGCTGTTGTGTAGAGGAGAACTAATGTCCTGTATGAGACATGAAGAGGACTGGCAGTCATTTGGGAATTATCATTAACAGCGTTTAATATCATTTGCAACTTTCTCTTACTGGCTTGTAATTCTGTTTAATCGAATGTCTTTACTTTGAATTCAAGGTCATTTGGTTTGGTCTGGTAAGAGAAGTATCAGCAGGAGGCTGTGAGCTACAGGGGCAAATATCCCAACAACACCAAAGACCTAGGTCGGAGTGGGGAACCTGCAGCCTCGAGGCCACATGTGGTCTAGGTGAAGCTAAGACAGGGGCCACTTAGAGGAACCTCAAATAGTGCAAAAACATATACGTGTGCCTAAATAAAAAAGTGATGAGCCAAAGGAGAGAAATTCAGCAGGTGAGAGGGATGGGCAAGAAAGACTTTTTAGGGACTTCTACAGAGATGGGGGCGACAGAGCGGTCTACTCCAGGCACGGAAGATATGATGGGCAAAGAAAGGCAAAAAAGACAGAAGAGGGAAGGATACAAAGAGTTAACTGGGTTAATGGAATTTTTGTCCTTTGTAAATCTTCAAAATTCTGATCGTCTTGTTCAATACCTCATAATTATCGGGTTATAACTTTCCTTCTAATAGCAGTAACAAATAAACAGTCCCTGTTAGAGACTTAAAATAGCAAATGCAAGCATTGAACCAGTGCCAAACAGTAGTAGTGTTACAATTTTCTTCCAAGGCTTATCTTCCACTAAAATTTTGAAATGTTAAAATTTTCACTGAACAATACTCAAAGCATAATATGTTCATTTTATTATTGGCATATTTGTGAACAAATATGCCAATAATACACCCCAAAAAGTTAATGTAGGTTTTTTTTTTCTCCTGGTGAAAGCAAGTCTACCGATGAAAATGTAGCGACTGTGAAATCAAATAGTACTCAGGCAGTTTTGAAGTTTATAGGAAAACTTCTTTGATTAAATCTAAAATTAAACAATAACAACAAGCCCTTTCTATTTTCAAGTCAAAAATAAGCTCCTCAATAGCCTTTGTGACAATCTAAAAAGGAAATGCTCTTTTGGGGGGTATATTGTAAATTGTGCTGTAAAATATAACAATGGTGGGAAAAGCATAGCTCTACTCTTAGAGGCCATACAAAAAGCAGTAAAGGTATTTGCTAAGGCATGCTTGGTAAAAGTCTAAAAGCTATTCCTTTATGATTTATATGGGCTCTTAACAAAATTCTAATATGCAAACATTCCCAACCCTCCCAAGTAAATAATCGCAAAGTAAAGTCTTAACTTCCACTTGTTACCAACCCTCTTTAAGGTCTTAACTTAATGTTTTAGTGATAGCTATTCAGTTGTTGTGTTTTTTTTTTTAAATGAAGATTTACCTCTTCCATCTCTGGCCAAGTGAGAACTGCTAGAGAAATCCGTTTATTATTTTGTTAGAAACCCAGTAGGAGAGAACAAGACATCCAAAGCTCATAGGGATCTATTCAGCCTGAGGCAGTCACTGCAGCTGCTATTCCCTATTCTAATGAAGGTTTTTTTCTTTACTGAAAACAGCTGCCATGGGCTCATTTTGGCTGATACCGCTGCCTACATTTACTCTTTAGCCCTGTACCTAAAATGTTAGCCCTGTACCTAAAATGGAATCTAGCTACCACTCTATTCTGCAGGTACCTTGTAAGGCAGAAGGGAGTCTGGTAATCATGAAGAAGAAGTCTTCTCTAGCATCTGATAGTCAGAAGTAGGATTGGATATTGCATACCTTAAGGATGGATATTGTACAACTCCTGCTTAACTGCAGCTCAGTAGACAGAGTGGTGGACCTCCAGTGAGGAGGATCTGGTTTCAAATTTGGCCTCAGACACTTAGGAGTTGTGTGAACCTGAACAAATCACTTAACCTCTGTTTACCTCAGTTTCCTCAATTGGAAAAGGGGGAAAACAGCACCTACCTCGAAGGGCTGTTGTGAGGCTCACATGATATAATACTTGTGAAGCTCTTAGCAGAGTGTGTGGCCTACAGTAGACACCATATAAAAGCTTTTTCCCTCCCCCCAACAGTCTAAACCCCAATTCTGAACTTTGCCATCTCCTTTTATTCTGCCTTTTTTATGCAGTTAGAAATGATGAAACAAATTATTTCAAAGAGAAATGGAAAGACTTATATGAACTGATGTAGAGAGAAGTATGCAGAACCAGAAGAATAATTTCTACTGTAACATCAATATTATAAAAATGAATAATTTTGAGAATTTTCTATACATTGATGAATACTGAAATGGACAGAATCAGGAAAACAATTTATATGATAAAAACAGCAATTTAAAGACAAATAATTTGAAAGCTATGAGAACTGTGATCAATACAATAACCATCCATAATTCCAAAAGACCAGTGATTAAACCTAGTGATACGTCTTGATAGAGAGGTGACA